AAAAAAAAAAGGAAAAAGAAAAGCAAACTGTTTCAAAGGACACACAATTAAAGTACGTCTGCCTCCCATCCTGGTCCCCAGTCTCTCAATTCTGCCCTCTTCCCAACATGCACTTATCTATTTCTCGCATTTCTTCCATGTACGTGCCACCTACACACAAGCACATGCTTGTATCTAACTGTATGTCCTATTTCGTGTGTGTATTTTTACTTTTATTTACTTAAATTATTAGGTAATTCAGTTACTCTATTAAATTATCTGAAAGACAAGTCCATATTCACACATATAGACCTAAAAGGCGTAACCACAAAACAAAGTCCAAACCAGGATATTTTTAAGCATGAAATGGGATGCAGTTAATTATGCAGGACAAGGAGCATACACTAAGACTGCCCTAGACGAGTGGGAGTATCAAGTCCTCCTGGGTCAATAGCTATATCATAATCTAATGAATGAAAAAATATCTTAACTTACATAACAGTGCCCTACTCATAAATTTTTAGGATGCTTTTAGACTTTTGCTATTACAATGAATATCCTTGAACATACATCCCAGCGCCTGCCATATGTTAAATTATTTAATCTACAGTAGTAGCCTTATGTTTACATATGGAGTAGATTCTAATGTTATCTGCATGTGACAGGCGGAGACTCTGAATAGGTCAGCATAGAAGGAATGGTTATTTGGAGAGCTGCTGCCAGTTGTCACTCTGCTTGGAGTGAGTCAGAGGATAGAGGATGACCTAGCAGTCCTGTAGCCTAGGATGACCAAATGTTCTGCTTTGCCTGGGATAGTCTTGCTTTATGCCTATTAGCTGAGATAATTATTGATAGCATTTCCTTTTATTAAGAGTATCTTGGTAGGCAATAAATCATGTCATCAGTAGCCAGAAGGCGGAGGATTTGAAGACAACAGTCAGGAATACCAGATACCCTTATCTGCTCCTCCCTTCCAGGGAGCAAGGGATGTGCAGGTGATGGTGAAACAAACAGGAAAAGAGGCCTGGAAATTCTGGGTGGACCCCTACAGTCCCATATGGAAGATGAAAGTGGAGATCAAGAAGACGTTTGGCCTCAGCGGGCAGCAGCGTCTCTCCTTCCAGGAGCCGGGAAGGGAGCGGCAACTACTCAGCAGCCAACGAACCCTGGCATATTACGGGATCTTCTCTAAGGTCACTGTCTGGGTGCTGGAGACCTTCTCTTCTGAGATCCAGGTCTTCGTGAAGGACTCTAGTGGCCAGAGCAAGCCTTACGCCATCCACCCAGATAACTCCATCTATGACTTGAAAAAAGAGATTGAAGAGGCTGGAGGACCTGATGTGGCAGATCAAATACTAAAGTTCCAGGGTCGGAAACTGTGGAATCGTCGCAGCCTCTCAGACTTGCAGATCGAGGACTGTGACACCATCACACTCATTAGGAGAGAACACAGTTCCCCATGAGTGCCCACGATCAGGCTGCTCATGAGGTAGACTTCGATGGTCCTGTCCCCCTATCTCACCCTTTCTACCCAGACTACTGTTCTCTTCTGTAGCATAAATATGAACGTATACCTTCCCTGCTTAAAATCCTCCAATGACGCCTATTACCTACAGCATAAAGTTCAAGTTCCTTTGCTTGGCATTTAGAATCCTTGACAATTTAATCCTCGCTTACCCCCTTAATCTCTTCTCACCACTCTCAAAACACACCAGATGTGCCCAAACACATGTAACTCCAGAATACCGAATGCTGGGTCATAACTCCATGACTTTGAGTCAGCTCTCAAAGTATGGACCCCAGACCAGCAAAATCAGCATCACCTGGGAACTTCTTAGAAATGAAAATTCTCAGCAACTATCGTAGACTTACCTGAGTCTGGTTCTCTGGTGGTGGGACTCAGCAATTTGTGTCTTAACAAGCATTCCAAGTAATTCTGATGCACACTCGAGTCTGAGAACCACTGCTATAAGCCCCATACCGCTCACCAAGTCTTATTCTGAACCTATCCCATTCTATATCCAGGTCAGACTTCTGTGAAAGCACTTAGAACCTTCATTGGATTCCTTTGTTAAATCATCTATCCACCTCTTCTCATGAGACTTGACAAGAACTGTGTCTTATTCCTGTGTCCCCATGGTCAAGAATGGTGCCTGCCTGTCACAAATGCTTAGCATGTGCTTGTTGAATAAACAAATAAACTAAAGAATGACTTCGAATTTTTCACTATTACCTTCATGAGAGTCTCAGCCCAGTGCCATTTTGGAGACCATCTTGTTTGGGATGCCTCCCCCAAGCTGTCTCATTCTTTGAAAGTGCCCACACTCATCTACACAAGCCCCATGCTTGTATAGTGGCAGACCTATTCCATGCTCATACCCAATACCTTCACCCCTCTGTCCATGTCTAACTGGATCTAAATTGATCAGCTGACCCAAGATAACATCCATCCATTGGTTGTACTTAGCCAATCAGATTTTGAGTCCTGGGTTTGGGGGTGGTGGTGGGACTAGCTATGGGGAAGTTCTGGTACAGTTAAGTGAGGCTATCTAAGCAGAAATGCAGTCAGAACTGAGCAGCCTAAGCCAGAGCACCACCCAAGTCCACATATTAGTAAAGAGAGAGCCATCCAAGCAGAGAACAGAGACACACATGGCAAAAGACAGAATCAAATGCCCCTCACATAACCCCAGGGAGAGAGGGTAGTCCCGCCTTTTTTTCTAATAAATTCCCCCTTTTCCTTTCATCAACCTAAATTGAATGAGCAGCCTCTCATCGAGCGAATCCGAATGGGTTGGAGGTCTTTCCTGCCCCAAGAGCCTTAACTAAGATCTGCTTCAGCAGCTCAGTAAAATTCTTTCTCTAGTCTTCAGTAAATTAATAAATTTGCACATCTATATAGCATTTGCACCAAAAGTCTTCATAGACATGATGTCATTTGATTCTTATCCTCACAGCTGCTCTGGAAGTTAGATGGATGAGTCAAACTAATACCCCCTCCCCCTTTTTACAGATGAGAATATTGAGCCTTAGAGGATAGGGACTAATGTTCAGAGGGCAACTTCTGTGGAAGAGGAGCCAGACCGACCTCAGCAGGGACACCCTGGAGGTCTTGTAGATCATTTAGAAGGAATGCCTTTCTCACCTTCTCTGGGCCTCACCCACAGGCATACTGCCTGAACTCCAGCCTCGTCACTCTGCTAGCCTTCTCCAATCCCTTCAATAATAATGTCCGCACCAACCACAGCGGATGGACCAGGGATGACCACATGACCCAGCCGATTGGACCACTATGCTTCAGGTCTGTGCACTTTGTTTTGTGTAAGTTATATCTCAATAGAATAATCAAGGAAAAAGAATGATGCTCAGATTTCCAGCTCCTTCTCGTGGGTGACATACCCTGCACTTCTTGCTATTCACACTCATTAGCGATTATAATTTGAGATTTGTCTCCCCTGTTAAAATAATTGCTCACATTTATTGAGCACCAACTCTGTACCGGACACTGAGCTGAGCATTTTTCATTCATCGTTTCACTGGAGCATTATACTAGCCCTAGGATGAAGGTACTGTTATTATCCACATTTTACAGGTGGGAAAACCGAGACACAGATAGTTTAAGTTACTTGCACATGCTCATGACTAATAAGTTAGGATTTGAACCCAACACTCTGGCTCCAAAGCTTGTGCTGGCAACCACTTTGTTATGTTGTAAACTCAGCAAGAATGGAAGACTCTGTCTTATTTACCACTTTCCCCAGTGCCTACCATAGGAGCTGACATGTAATAGGTGCTCAGTAAATGTGTGTTGAATGAATAGATGAATCTAGTGGATTAAGTAAAGTCTTGTACGAGGACTAGCATGACATAATGTGTGTGAAACTCTTCACCTAGTATGCGGCACACCATAAGTGCTCAATAAATGTAGCAGCTACCAGCTGTTATTAGCTCCTTCCCCTGCCCCTCTAAGTTCTTTCATATCCCAGGGCAGGAGTAGGGGGATTTATAAAGAGCTGTATCCTCTTTGGTGCTGGCAGTTCGCTCACTCCTAGTCTCATGCTGGGGCCAAGCAAAAAGAGAGAATGGATGTTGTAGCAGCAATTGGTATTCGCTCCCCCACTCCATGTCCTTTCTCCTTTCCTTCTATAAAAATAGAATTTTTAGCTAAGCACGTCACCAGAGTCCGAAGACTACATTTCCCAATCTCCCCTGCAGCTGGGTATGACCATGTGATTAAGTTATAATCAATAGAGTTCATTTGTATTTTATGCATGAATTTGCATATGCATCCCCAACAACCTTGATTTGTCAATTAGGTCTGGAATATCTAGAATCTGTCTCTTTTTTACTTCATATCCAGGAAAGAGGGTGGAGAAAATATTGTGATATTAGGCATTTGACAATATTTTTTTTTGAAAGTTTCTGTCCTTTGAGTAGCCTTAAAACTGGATGCAGCTTTCTTCCATGGTACCCAGATATCACAAGGAGAAAGCTCCTAAGATCCACAAATCCAAGTGGGCTCCATAAACACAAAATGGATTATGACAATGATCAACGAAGGGGCTTCTCAGACTACTTACCTTACATAGGGCAGTGTTCACAGCCCTGTGGACTTCTGAGTGCCTGTGGAAAACAGGCTGAGGTAACAAGTTCAGGATTGCTGAGAGAGATCAGGGGGAAACCAGTGAATCTGACCCAGTTCCAAGAACAGATTCGGGGAAGGAACCCCTGGGGTTTCAAGGAGAAGTGACCTTGAACAACTGATCCTTCCCTTTCCTCTCCACCCTGGATTTATTTCCTTTTCTATCCAGCTTAGACTCCCATGGTCAAGCCTACCAGTTACTCACTAGTCAATGCCTTTATCTTTCCTACCCATTTGTTTATACAGTCCATTCATTCTTGGATCATCAAGGACCCTTGCAAGTGACAGAGACCCAATTCAAATTAGTTTAAGCAAAAATGAGTACAATGTCATGGCCCGTAAGAGTCCAGGGTTAGTTAACATCAGGCACAGGTGAATCTAGGAATTCACACAATGCCAGAAGTTGTGTCGCTTAGCTTATGCCACCCAAAACACCCATTTGTTTGCTTGTGTTTCTGGGAATCGGTTAAGCAGGTTTTCTGGTCTGAGCTGGCTCGCTTGAAGCTGGGGATCTACAACATCCTCACTCACATGTCTGGTAATTGGCTCAATATCAGTTGGAAAATCAAATGCCGTAACCATGTGTTTATCACTATCCAACAGGCTGGTCTGAGCTTGTTCACATGGTTGCTGGGTTCGAAAAGCAGCAAGAGAAAAGACAAGCCCCAATGCATACACTTTTTAAGACTTTGCTTGCATCATGTTTGCTAATGTCTCCTTGGTCAAAACAAGTCACATGCCCCGCTTCAAGAGTTGGAGAAATAGGCTCCATCTCTTGACAGAAAGAACTGCAAAGTCAGCATTACAGAGGGGTGTGCATACAAGGATGGGAAAAATTCGAGAGCATTGCTTTAGATTTTCTTGGATACATTTCTCCCTTCACATGGCAGAAAAATAGCCCTGCTATCTACTAGGGCATTCTCTGTTTCCCCATAAGAAATATCTGTGGGTACCCCTTCAGCCACTATGATGTACAAGCGAACGTGGAAGTTCAAGGGAATTAACACCTCACGGAGCAACCCTTGACCAGTGGAAATACAGGCACCGATGAAAGCATATGCCCCTCTTCCACCTCTCAGGTGAGGCTCATTCTACACTGCTCCTTAGAGGATGCCCAGTGGAATCAAATCCCAAATGCCCACAGTAGTGGTCAATTTAATAATATTCCTTGGGATGGTTTTCTTCCTTCTCAATCCCCCATACCTGTCCCTTGGGATCATTTGCCAAAACAAGTCACCCTCATGCAAGCCCTCATCTGATGCTTTGCTTTTGGGGGAACTCAAGCTAAGCAACACCCAACTTTATGTATTTTCTTCCTGCCCCAAACCTTGCTCACCTCCTTTCTATCCACTGGCTCTTCTCCCTCACTGTAGAAACATTCAAGACTGGGTGGCATTTTGACAAACCATAAAGCCAGTATGTTCCCGACTCCATGTTCCCTTTTCAAATCTTCAAGTGCCATCCACTGTATTAGGATCAAATACAACTGCTCAACTCTCATGGATTTCATGAAGTTGAATAAAATCCAGGAAGTAAAGCCTGAATGTTTATTGTTTAAATAACTTTTCTATTGCCTTTAAGTTCATCGTTTGTCATCATAAACACGGCAAACATTTGGAGCCTTAATTTAATGTGGCAAACATTTGGAGCCTTAATTGAATGTTAACTGAAATTTGCGAAATTGCCACTGCTCTGTAAACTCTTATGATATGGCACTATTTAAGGACCAGGCACTACTTCCAGACACTGGCAACATGGGGACTTTTCAAAATTATGTAAGAAAAAATATGGTGCTTTCCACTTGGGGCTAGCCAGTTTGAAAGTTTACATTAAATTGAAATGTGACATGATTTAGGGGTTTTTTTTCCCAAAGTGATATTAGAAACAATAAACACTCTCCACCCTACCACCTCCTCTAGTGCACACCCTGTCTTTCTCTTTTTTCATGACAAACTTTTTGCAAGGGTTAGTTACACTCCTGGTCTCCATTCCACTCACTCCACCTACTCCTCAACTGACCCTAATCTGGCTTCTGCTCCCAGCTCTCCCCTAAAACTTCAACCACCATAGTCACCAGTGTCTTCTCGGGTACTTCTTAGATCTATATTTCTCAGTTTATCAGAAGTATTAGGCAACTAGATATCATTTTTAAGCCCTCTGGCTTTGTTCCATCTCTTTGGCCACTCCATCTGGTACTCAGAGTTTCACTTTCTTTGCCCATCATTTAATTTTGGTATCAATCATCCTTTCCTAAGGCACCATTGAGCCATCTGTGTGTGGGGAAACCAAATTTGTCTTCACCTGGAGCTCCTTACTTCCTTTATCCCCCATGGGTACCTCCAAGTTATCGTTCGAAAATACTAGATTCACTTTTATTTCTCCTTCTATCTTCCTCTCTTTGTTAAGAGTGCCCTCCACTAGTTACTCAAGGACCCAGGCCTGAGAGCTAATAACCATCCCTGTCTTCTCCCTGTCTCTCATCTCCTATCTGCAGTCACCAAGTCCTATCTCCACCCTTCCTCCAACGTAGACCTAGAATACAGCCCTTTCTCTCTTCATCTACCGCTTCCAGCCAAGTCCAGCGTACCATTGCACAGTGGGCTCACCTGGATCACTGCACAGTGTCCTGACATGTCTCCCTGCTTCTATTATTGCCTCCTGCAATCCATCCTCCCCACAGAAGCAGCCAGACCAATCTTTCCAGAATGCTAACTTCACCACTGGTCACTCCTCCTGATATGCCACTGGCCTCAGGACAAAGTCAGAGCAGATTCATCCAGCATGACCGGGTGGGTCACTTCGAAAACACCACTCTTGGTTTTCCTACCACCCCTCAGGCTACTCCTTCCCATTCTTCTTTGCTGGATTCTTGCAATTCCCTAACCACTTTATACTACTAAGTGCTTCAGGGCTCAATCTTTTGTCCTTTCCTCCTCTTGCTCTACACTCACTCATCCAGTCTTGTGGCTTTAAATATCTTTATGCTGGTGATTCTCGAATTTATATTGCAAACCCAGACTTCTTCCCTGAAATCCAGACTCATATATCCAACTCCTTACTCTATGTGAATCTCTAATAAACACTTCAATTTTTTGTTGTTGTTGTTGTTGGCTACACTGCGCCCTTTGCCAGTCTGTCCCACCTCAGTTAAGGACAATTGCATCCTTCCGGTTGCTAAGGTGTTAACTCTGATCTTTCTATCATATACTCCATCCGTTAGCAAGACCTGTCAGCTTTATGGTCAAAATACATCCAGTGCAATGCTATAATGTCTAGGATTCACTTCCAAATAACACAGGAAACGAGACATGGATGGGGGTATAATTTCAACAAGATTTTCTGCAGGTCGAATCTGGGTGATGGTATATGGAGGCTCGTTTTATTATTCCACTTTATTTAGGTTTGAAATTTTCCACAATAAAATAGTTAGATCATACTGCTTCTCCTCACCTTCACAATTACCACCCTGATCCAAGCTGCCGCATCTCTTGTCCGAATGGTCGCAGTAGCTTCTTAACTGAACTCCTGCTTCCCCGCTCACCTCCCCATCTACCCCCTGCTTTTAATCTAATCTTCCCCCAGCAGCCAGTATGATCTCATTCAAATGAAAGTCAGACCATGTCCCTCTCCAGGGGCTCCCTATTTCATTCAGAGTAAAAGTCAAAGTCTTAGTAGTCTTCAAGATCCTATGCCATTTGCCCTCCACCCCTTACCACTCACACCTCATCCCCTCCCGCTCTCCCCTCTCAATCTTCCCATTCCAGTCACACTGCGATTCCTCAAACCCATCAGGCACACTGCCCCAATGGGACTGCTGCACTTGCTATTCCTTCTGCTGTGGAGGACCCTCTTCCCTCTGACACGCACGTGGCGCCCTCTTTGCCACCTTCATGTCTTTGTACAAATGTCTCCTTTTCAGGCTGGCCCTAACCACCTTACTGAAAACTGAACACCTGCAAAGACAGACATAAACACACACGCACACGCACACGCACACGCACACGCACACACGTGCACGATACCTGTTTCCCCACTTTATTTTTCTGCTTGGCACTTACCACCATTTTATGTGCTGTTAATTTTATTTATTTATCTTGTTTATTATCTTTCTCCACCATCAGAATGTAAGCCCTCTGCAAGCAGGGAATTTTGCCTGTTCACTGCTGTATCCCCAGCTCCTGACTGGCACCAAGTAGATGCCTCCCGAAATGTTGAATGAACGAATAAATCAATGAAAGACACGCCAAGATTCGACTCTTGCCTGCCTATCCAGGCACATCTCTCACCTCTCCGCTCCTTACTCTCCATGCCTAGGCATAGTTTACACGAGTCCCTGACACACACCTGGCCGGTTCACACCTCTCAGCTTTTATTCATGTTGTGCCCGATCCCTCTTGGCCACATCCCCAGTCTTTTAGGACTCATCTCAAACAGGTGTTCACTGACATCACAGATAGCCCAGAAGAAACTTTTCTGCCTGGCTTTCCCCAGGTTTTCATGGTACTCTGAGTCTTTTGTCTGTCTCCCTTGGGATACCCTTGGGGCAGGAACCCTGTCTTATTTTGTCTTCTTAGCACAATGTCTGGCACCTAGAAGACACTCAATTGATATTTAGTAAATGAATAATACTTACATTTATTGAGTGTTTTCTCTGCTCACTATTCTCTTGCTTCATCTGCTTGACCACTTATAGGGTAGGGTGTCATTATTAAACCCATTTTATGGATAAATTATGAGAGGGTCGGAGAGATTAAAAGTCTACTAAAGAACTAACTGGAACTTACATTCTGTTCTGTCTGACTCTAGAGTTCCCGCTGCTCATCCCAACCATAAATAAGTCCCTTCTCTTTCTGAACCTCAGTTTCGTAACAAGGTGGGGTGACTAGATCTAGAGATACCATCCAACTTTGACCTGCTGGGAGTTGCCTCCTCTAGGGTTAAATTCAAGCCAATTTCAGTTTCCAAACGTCATATAAGGGAAACTTAAAAAGTTGAGAATCGAAACCAGTAGCAGAAAGGTTGGCTGAAAGCCAATCCTGTTAAGGTGGCCCCAGAATGTCCAGCCTCGGCTCAGTGTCCCTCAGTGCCACTGTCACAGCAAGGAGTCTTTAAGAGGGGAGCCGCAGATCAGCCCAGTCACCCCTGATGTCCTCTCCTCCGTTGTCTTTTATCCTACGGGGTGCTGGAGGTCAGCTGAGAAGGAGCCACCTTAAAGAAGGGCGTGTATGCCAGGAGCTTGAGTATTTGTGTGGCCATATATCTATCTAGCAGTGGAACTCTCAGGACAGAGATGGCACTGACCTCAGAGCTGTATGGCACCGCTGCCTCCAGGCTGGACTCCTTCGTGGCTCAGTGGCTACAGCCCAGCCGGGAGTGGAAAGATGAGGTGTTGGAGGCTGTGCGGACTGTGGAGCAGTTCCTGAGGGAAGAGCCCTTCCAGAGGGAACATGGGCTGGACCAGGAAGTGCGGGTGCTAAAGGTGGTCAAGGTGAGACTGGTACCCTTCATCCCCGGGCAGGGCTGGGCCAACCCAGCATGAGGGTCCTCATCCCTGATGATGCTGGAGACCGCTTGCCTCATTATCCGTAGCCCATGCTGCTCATATCTCAAGACACCCCACCTTAGCTGCCTGCACCCCACCACATTGCTGCCTTGAGCAGAACAATCCAGTAAGGAAGCTAATAATAGTTCATTTTTTGGGTGCACTAGCCTAACCCCTTAACATCTATTGTCTCTAATTTGTGCACCCTGTGAGATCGGTACTATTCCTATTTTACAGATAAGCAAAATGGAGGCTCAGAGACTTAAGATTCGTAATAACCAAATGTAATGCAAGGTCTTTGATCATCCAAGGTCTTAGATCATCCAAAAATATAGTTTAGAAACAACTGGGGAAATTTTAATATGACCCGGATATTGATTTTGTTAGTGTTGTGCATATGGGGGAAATGTTCTCTTTTTGTTGGACACAAATGCTAAAGTATTTAGGGACAAAGTTTCTTGGTGTCTGTAATTTACTTTAATGTGGTTTAGACGAAACAAATACAGCAAGGAATTTAGACTTGTTAAATCTAACTGGCTGGATATGAGTATTTATTATATTATCTTTCTAATTTTCTATGTTTAACATTTTTGATAATAAAAAGGTTTTTTTTTTCATGGCAGCTCAGAAAAGTGAGGTGATTTGCCCAAGGTCACACAGCTAGTGGTAGAGCAGGGATTTGAACCAGAGTCTATCTGACTACAGCCAGGGCTCCAGGCTGCTCCAGTGAGCTTTTTCCCCTAAGCCCTTTCCCCAGCTTCCTCATGTCACCTCCTATCCTAGCTAGGATCAAGAGAGTCAAAACTAGAAAGCCAGGGAGAATTCGACAGTCTCAGTTAATCCTCTGTTTAAACATTAAAACCGAGACACAGAAAGGGCGAGAGATATCCCACATTCACACAGTGATCTGGTGGAAAAGGAGACTAGAACTAGGACCCCCTAATTCTGACTCCCAGCTCAGTGCTCTAGTTCTCTCTCTGGGGCAGCTAGTCCTCCTCAGGGAAGGATTTAGAAACCTCAGGCCCGCATCCCTTCTTTATACCCATCCCCAGCGTTTGGAGCCTGAGGCCATATGATTTCACAATGAGAAACCACACATTTTGACATTAGACAGACCCAGGTTTGATCCTTGACCTCTTCCCTTACCGGCTGTATGACTGTAGATTTACCATCTTATTTCTTAAAACCCCAGTCTTCCCATCTGTAAATGGGGCATCATCATCATCATCAACATCTTCTTTCCCTCCTCCTCTCTCCCCCAACAAGCAAATGGGGAAGCAGGCTAAATGATTAGCATATATTAATTTAAACAACAACAACAGAAAACAAAAGCATCATTATAAATTCTTGCCCAAGCTATCTTCGTGGTCTGGGGTGCCAATCTGAGTCAAGCAGACCCTCCCAGACCACCCACCCTGACAACCCTGAGAATGAAGCAGATGGAACGGGGAAGTCTGAGGACAGAAGGATGCTGCTAACCGAATGAGTTTTGACACCAGGAAATGACATTTGCCCAACCCTAAAATTCTGCCCGCAGACCATATCCACTTCTGCCCTTGAAACCACAAAATAATACCCAAAAGAGAAATGGCTAATGAGAAATAATAACTTTATTCAGCCTCTAACCCCCCGCCTCCCACTCCCCTACCCCTGCCCAAAATCTGGTAAGCTGGGCTGAGCGAATGCTTGTTCTTGAATGAGTTGGGTTTAAATAGATTTGAGCTGAAGCAAGTCATGAAGCCTATTCTAGAATGTTCTTTCCTCCCTGCCTGGGTCTTACCACTGGGAAAGGTGGGAAGGGCAGTCTAGGCACAGCTTTCAGGGAAATGTGCTCTTCATCCGCACACAGGGAGCCATCCCCAACCCTCTCGCACGGGGCAGAAACATTGTATCTGGATCACACGGGGCAGAAACATTGTATCTGGATGCAGGCGGAGAAAGAGAACAGAAAAGGTATTGGGGAAAAAGATGGCAGACTCCTCCCTCTCAGAAGCAGGGCCTGGCTCGTAGTCCTGAGTCCTGGGGAAGAACCATACTCTGCCTTCTGACTCTTTCATTGACTGTGACTATGATTCCTGGCTAGGAGCCCATGCCGGGTTAATTAACTTCCCATGGCCTCAACTTTCTCACCTGTACATTGGGGATAATTATACTAGTGCCCACCTCAGTCAGTGGGTGTGAGGATGAGAAGGTCTCGTTTGCATAAGGGGCTTTCAGGGGTGCCAGACACAGCGTGTGCTCAAACTGTAACAGCGGGATTATAGTCAGCGTTCAGTGATTTCACCCTCCAGGAGGGGTCCGTTCATCCCTAGCAATTCCACCTCTCAAACTGGAGTGAGAAAGAAGGCCAGAGAGCTGTAGGGTGCTTGTATATCAGAGACAACAGAGGTCGGACAGCAAGCCCAGAATCTCGGAACATCAAAAAGATCCCTTCGAAATCATCCAGCTCAGGCTCCTTACATTCAAATGGGGAACCTGAATCTTAGGCAGCAGAAGGAATGATGAGAGCCAACTAGATAAAGAAGAGAAAGAGAAATATATTGCTGACTTCCTGTGTGCCAGGCACCAGGGCAAACCTTTGGCACACATTCTCTCATCTAATTCTCCCAGGAACCCAATGACTCATGTTCCATCGTTTCCCTCATTTTTCAGACTTAAGGTTCAGAACGATCACACAGCTGAACGGGGCAAGAGTTGAGGTCAGAGTCAGGCTGCCCCATTCCACAGCCCATGGCTTTTATCCACCAGGAAATCCTGTGCCCACCCCCTTTTTAATATCATGAAATTACTCAGACCCCCAAGAATCCTCAAACAACCCCATGGAGTAGGCATTCATATTCCATTAGAACAGACATGATTCTGTGGATGAGAAGAGTCTTGGAAGGATGCAGTGTGGCAAATAAGAAGCTTGGGCTCTGGGGTCAGGCTGCATACTGTGTGACCATGGGTAAGTGGCTCATCCTCTTGACATCTCAGTTCTCTGAACTGTAAAGATGGGGTATTGGTACTACCCACCCATCCGTCAGGGTTATGGTGAGAATTAAATACGTAAAGACCCTCGGGAATTGCCTGGCATAGGCAGTGGCCTCAGGGTGACAGGGCTCTGTGTTCTGCAGGTGGGCTCCTTCGGGAATGGCACAGCGCTCAGGAGCAGCACGGAGGTGGAGCTGGTGGTGTTCCTGAGTTGTTTCCACAGCTTCCAGGAGGAGGCCGAGCACCACCACGCTGTTTTGAGATTGATATGGAAAAAGCTGTGGCATTGCCATGACCTGGTGGCCCTTGGGCTCGAGGTGATAGGAGTGGTCCAGGGAGCGCCTGATGCTTTTGTCTTCACCATTCAGACTATGAAGACTGCAGAGCCCATCACTGTCACCATTGTGCCTGCCTATAGGGCCATGGGTAAGGGGAGAGGAAGCCCACCCAACTCACACACCTGCCCTTCCCAAGAGACTTGCAACTGCCTCCCTTCTCATGCATGGCCACATGCAGATAGCTGCCTCCATCCATTCAGCCCATGTGCTGTGCTGTGGGCTGGGCGACTGCAGTGCATAGGACTGACAGGACTCTGGCTGTCTCATGGCTCACATTGGGAAACAGATTTCTCAAAGAGTCACAGATAAATAAATAAACATATGATTGCAAGAGAAAGCGAGACCCATGGAGGGGAGTTAGAAGAGTAACTTCGGTGCTTCTGTAGTACTTACCACAGGTGCAGGGAGCCTGTCATTGTTTGGACTTTTCCAGAAGCAGACCCTGAGACAAGGGTTTGAGGACGAGCAGCCCCGAGAAACACTGGTAGGGAATAGGGGAGTGAGACAGAGAAAGGAAGAAGCGTTACAAATTACCACGCAGAACAACTGGACCAATGCATTTGTGATGCTCACCAGAGCAGTACACCCTTCAGTAAGTGTGCTCTCAGAGCTCAGCTCTCTTATCTGGAACTGGGTGTTCCCTACAGTGATGGGAGGTTTAAATAAATGGCTGAGAGAGAGATCCAAAACAGACATTAGAAGAAAGTGTTGGGGACCTCAAGGAAAGACAACAGTCCTTGAGTGGCCTGAGGATGAGAAAACCCACTTTTGTTTCTCCAGAAGGATAATCAACAAGGCAAACCTTTATTTTCTCAGGCTATGAGGTCTCAGGTTTCCCTGGAGTGATACTCAGGTGAATTAGTAGGCACCCCGCACAGACCACTGAGCTAGCTACCTGGGGAGTCCTAAATCCCCGCTCTCTTTCTTCATTTCCTCTAATCCCAGGACATTCAATTCCCAATTCTCAGCCACATCCTGTGGTCTATGAGAGCCTGATCGAGGCCTGCAACAGTTACCCTGGAAATTTCTCTGCATCCTTCTGTGAGCTGCAGAGAAACTTCGTCAAACATCAGCCAACCAAGCTGAAAAGCCTCCTGCGGCTGGTAAAACACTGGTACCTGCAGGTAAGGGGGCTGCCAGTTTGGGGCAGGAAGGGGAGATGGAGGAGGGAGGGGAAGAAGAAAAGGAAGGGACTGGATTTGTTAACTCAGGAAACTGGCTCAAGGAAAAATGGAAGTGGGGGGTGAGAGAACGCTAGTCTTTTGAACTGTCAATTGAAACAATGAAGATGAAGAAAGGCGAGGGAGTGAAGAGAAGGAAAATATACAGAATTTCAGTATACAAGTGCTTGTAATGCTCCAGTTGTGGTCCAGTACTGGCTGATGTCAACTTCACTGGGATCTCCGGATGTTAATCTCAGCTGGCTAAGGACTAAAAAGAGGAGAAAGATCGTTTAAAGAGGAAAGATCATTCCATCTTGCACCAATTCTCCCTCCAAATGATCCAGTTCCTAAGTATCATGGTCCTTACTGAGTGAATACAACCATAGCAGCCACTTTTTAGAGCTCACATGTGATGTCTGCGTGGTACTGTGTATATTTCAAAATATCCAAATGACACCTGAAACCAATACAATATTGAACCTCAACTGTAATTGAAAAAACAGGAATGCTAAGAGAAATTCGTATATCTCTTTAGGATATACGTCAAGATGTATATATTTATTCCTGGAGAGATTTTTTAGAATGAAGTTTATATTCTGTATTATTTACTTCGTAGTTTTTAAATAAAAATTTATATAAGGTTTATATTAAAAAAATCCAGATGAACAGTTATCTAAATTTATGAAAGGAGGACTCAGAAACAAACACAAAATTAGAACAATTAAAATATGCTTTCTTATTTTAAAAAATGGTAAGAGTTGGATTTCAGAAGGACTCAGTTAAAAAAGAATAAATGTATCGAAAGATAAAAATCAGGAAATTACCAAGGTTAGCAAGTTTACAGTTAGTTTGTTTATGCTGAGAAAACAGCAATTTACTTAAATGAGTACTTACATCAACCAAGGTTGTGATATATCTTCAGACATTAGCATTCCCAAAGTCAAGAATAAAATTGTTTTTATTGATAAGACAATCACTTACAGGAAATGATCCACGATTCTGTGGGTTTCGCTAGAACTCAACAGAATGTTCCATTGCTTTGTTTGTTTATTTGTTTGTTTCAGGGAGCAAAATGTTTTCTTCCTGCATATAATATGCATGTTTATTTATAATGTCCATGGGACAATGTATCAACTTTACTTCTATAGCCCTCCCTTTGTTCAAGCTTCTGCCCCGAAGACAAGGATTTGACCACATATAAAACCATAAAACCATTTTTTGATTCAGTATTATTAATTTGATGTTTTATTGGACAAGTTTTATTTAGATGTGTTGATGGATCCATAAGGACATAAAGAGCTCGTATTGTATGGTAAACAAAACTAGAGCCCCCGGATGCTAAAAAGGTTAATTGTTTTTGTCTGGAGGTTTTGTCAAGTCTCAGGTGTCGTCATTGACTTTCACGGTTCAGTAGTATTTTATTGTTTTTATCAGCTCATGTACTGTAGTCAGGGACCAAAAGACTACGTTGAGAAGCCAGAACTGGTATATTGAATTAAAAATATGCAGATTAAGACCTGCTGAATGAGGAAGCACAGCTACCACGAGGGGGAGTGGCTCCCTCAGCCTCAGAATTCCCACTTCAGGGAAGTGAAACTCACTGGGTCACGTTCACTGAAGGCACAGTTTCAATAGAACTGTAAAGAAAGTAGTCACAGGATTTATTACCTTCAGATCCCAGAAGCAAGGGGGCGCAGTGAGCCAAGGTGAAGGGCTGTCCTCCCTCCCACTCAAGCCAGGAGCTAACAGGGGGTAGCAAGTACTTACTACTTATAAGGTGATTGGGGTAGAGGCCACTAACATCCCAAGCTTAACTTATTTTAAAAGGAGCCTGGGGGTGGAGGGTGGGGTGGGGAGGAGGAAGAAGCAAAACAGGACCTTATGGCAGGAATCCTCAACTCGAATTCTATCTAAAAGTCCAGACACTGGGTGTGAGCAGGGTTATCATACTGTAAAACGCCAAGGTAGCAACTCAGAAAAACAAAGTTATTTTTCACAGGTTTCAAAAAACTGAGAAAAATAAAAGTTATTTTTCTCATCACAGGAACATATCATTTAGCTTCTCTAGGTTTCGTCTGTCCAGTCGTAACTGTGAGGATGTCACTCACTGATCTCAGAGATGTCCAAGATTGTTAATGCTCACTCATGGCCTACCAAAAAAGTATTATTTTTACTATCTATAATGCTGGCTTTCACAAGCCTTACAACAGCATCAGGTCAGTATCAGGAGGGACTTTATAAGCATCATTTCCACATGTGAAGGGCTGTCCTTGATTTTTTTTTTTATTTACCAATAAACTGATGTTTATTCTTTTATATTTTGAAGTATTTAATTCAATGCCATTCTGGGAACAATATGGGACATTCCTCAGTGTTTTGGTTGAGCTTTTGATATAAGTTTTTTGTTTATTTATTTGGGGGGGATTTTTTTTTTTTCTTTTTGCCATTTTAAGTGTACGATTCAGTGTCATTAATTACATTCACAATGTTGTATAAACACCATCACTATCTATTTTCAAAACTTTTTTGTCACCCCAAACAGAAACTCTGTACCCATTAAATAATAACTCCCCATTTTATCCTCTCCCCAGACCCTGACAACCAACATTTCTACTTCCTTTCTCTATGAATTTAGTTATTCTAGCTCCCTCATATACGTGAAAGCATATAATATTTGTCTTTTTGGTATCTTATTTTGTCCTTGATTCTTAATAATGGGATTATCATACCTAATTGCATAAGATTTCTGGCATGAATACAAATTTATTTATAAATTTGATTTTTATCATTATATCACCGATGAATTGATTTATCTGATTCTATCCTGATAGGAAGAACACATTTTTATTGAATTTATATAAATACTACATAGTCATGAACAGGAACTAATAAAATTGCTTCATGAACATTTAACCACCATTCCAAATAGTTTTGTAAGCAGGGCCAATTTACATATACTATTATTTTACAGAATAATTATCTTTGTTTTTCTGAGGATTTGTTACTTTATAATCTATAGTAGAAATTTTTATAGGAAGTTTTTATTCTGTGGCATCGGTTGGAATAATACATCATTCAAAGAATATTTTACCTTAGTTTGCATAAATATAGCCCTATATTGAGAATAGGAGACAGATTAAGAAGAAAGGGTTATTTTCTTACATATCCATCAAAAACAGAATATTAGCCTGTGTATTATTATGTGTTATTACACATTACATGTTATTACATTACATGTTATTACACATTACATGTTATTACATTATTAACATTGTGTAATAACAACATAGTTCTTTTCTTTTTTTTTTCTTTTTTAACATATCATTAAATAGTCTGTTAAAGATCTTAAAAGAAATGAAAGGCTCACATGTATAAAAGCTTAAACTTATTATCATCTAAGAGGGGGTGGAGTCAGGCACTGGTGATGGCTCCAGCTGTTTCTCTATAATTTAGTTTCTTTCTCCTCTATGTCATCAGGCCGGTTTCCCTCACAATGGAAAATGGCCACAGCTCTTCCTGCCCTCACATCCACACACTGAACAAAAGAACTAGGCTTTACTCAAGTTGAGCCAAGTTAAATGAGAAGGCTTTTCTTGAACCAGTCACTTGGCAAGAGGAATGAATAGGTTTATACTGATGGCCCTGTCCAGTCAGGACCCACCCTGCTATGGAGAGTGGGGTCAATCCCGTCTGAACAGCATGGCCTCTACACAATGGAGAAGAAAGAAATGTCTGCTTGAGAAGTAACCCTAATGTTCACAGAATCTCAGCTGTTACCTAGTCCTGCAGTCCTCTGCCCTTTATTCTCTCTTTAGCTAAGAAGCCTTTCTTTAAAGGAAAACTTTCAGAAGCCCAATACATTAAATTGGATTAAAATGGAGCTGCTTTGGCTGGGATCCTGATGGCAGAGCCCAACTGCTCACTCTTTGAGATACCTCTTCGTAACTCTGTGCTAGAAGTTATGTCCAGCACAGTTTGAAACCCACTGGACTAACCCAGCCCCTTAATTCTAAAATTGGGAAACCCACTGAGGGTCAGACAAGGAAAGTGACTTGGCCAAGATTATACAGCCAAGATTATACAACAGTAGGTGACAGAGCTGAGACAAGAATTTGGATTTTCCAGTTTCTGGTCCAATGTCATCCTGACATAGAATCTTGGGGTCTCTCTCTTCCCATCTTTTCCAACAGTATGTGAAAGCCAAGTGCCCCAGGGCCATGCTGCCCCCTCTCTATGCCCTCGAGCTACTGACCATTTACGCCTGGGAAATGGGCACACAGGAGGATAAGAATTTCAGGTTGGAGGAAGGCCTCACCACTGTGATGGAACTGCTCCAGGAGTATGACTTACTCTGTATCTACTGGACCAAGTATTACACATTCCAGAACCCAGTCATCGAGGACTTTGTCAGAAAACAGCTAAAAAGAGAAAGGTACTGGGCCCCTGCTTAACAACCACATCTGAGAGAGGAAAGAAAGATTGGAGGAAAAGGTGGTATCGAGTTTTAGAGGTGGGCTTTATTAAGTAGTAAGGCCACACTGAAATCTCATACAGCCTTTCAAAATTGCCAGGGGCCTTAGCAGCTCTAAGCCTTTCTTGTTCCTCAAGCCACCATTCCACACTACCCTAGCTCTGTGGCCTGCAATAGACCACTTCAGTGCTTTTTAGGGACAGCAGGGGAAAGTGGAAAGAATTATAGAGATCCAAGTTTAATCCCCGCTCTGCCTTTTTCTCACTTTTGTGAGCCTCGGTTTCTTCTTTGTAAAACGGGAGTTACTGGCACCAACACTGCAGGACTGTTGTGAGGGTCAGAGAAAATATATGCAAAGGGCCTCTAGTATCTAGCCCAGGGTAGATGCCGAATAAATGCTCACTATTGTAGCACGTGCTGCTGGTGCCCATTTGCATCCCCGGGGCCTTTACCATTTCCATGAAGCCTGGCTCAGCCTCCACTGTCAGCACCTGTGTCCTTTTGCCTGTCAGAAGCAGCTGGATAAACACCTGAGCTCTCTCTCATCTCAAATGGAAGGACTCCCTCTGGGTCATGTGTACTACACTATTTCCCAGCGTCCCTCCTTTCGAAAGGAGATTTCAGAAAGCACCAATAATGAAGTGAGAAAGTAAGAAGGGAAAGGGAGAGATGGCAACAAAGGGCGTATATCAAGGTGATTACCACTGAGGCAACTGGAGGTTTAGTCCACAGGAGGGACGCTGGGAAACTTCAGAGAGAACCAGTCTGATCACTGGGCACAGGCCCTGTGTGTCAGGTCCCTTGGTGGGTCACTTTGGGTTATATGACCCCACCCCATAAGACAGCCTGGCTCCGCTACCTGACAGGATGATTTCAAGGAGCCAGGGATGTTGGGAGTAGCCAACATGGAGCCTAAAATGTTCAGTTTACTCCAACAGCTCACCATCACATTCTGTCACATAAAGTCACAGCTCCCTGCTAAGTAAGTCAAAAGCCCATGGAGTACAAGGGCCAGCTCTTATCATGGGTTTGGCATCCAACACATGTGGTCATCCCATGCAACCCAAGGAGGCTCTTAGACTCCTTTCAAACCAATATTCTTTAAAATATTTATTCTACATTTATATAGGGAACGGACATTTGGAGACAGCTCAGCCTCTCCTCTGTTGAGCCAGTGGAGATGGGTAAGAATCCTTTGAGCTGAGCTGGTTTTGAGAACTTAGGGAAATCTGTGCCTCAGTTTCCTCATCTATAAAATGGGGACAACAACAACAATAATAACACTAGTCTCTACCTTATGGAATTGTTGTCAGGATTAAAAAAGGTTAATTCACATAGGATTTGGCCCAGTGCCTTAGTAAATATCAGTAGTTGGAGATGATGTTCTTACCATTATTCAAAGCAGTTCAGCTGCTCTAGTCCCAAACTGTGAACAAAATTAAGTCTCTGGACTTAAGAAGCCCATCTGCCTGAGTGGGCATCTGTTATTGCTTCAGCATGCCTTTTGGCGTCTCAGCCCCCCCAACACACGCACTGCCAAAATGCCTCACAAACACCTAGAATACTCTCCCCAAAAGAAGCTCTTGGGAATCTAATGGTCTCTATCCTGCTACTCTTCAGCAGTGTTTCTGGGCCCTCCTGGACTGACAGCCCAGGGCTCTGGGCATAACAGATGCTCAGGGGCTTGAAGAGATAATGGCCAAGAAGGCTTCTTTCTGACTTGCAGGCCTCCAAACCAGAAAGTGCCCTGGGCACCCTCTCTCTGTGTTACAGGCCCATCATCCTGGATCCAGCTGACCCCACCCACAACGTGGCGAAAGGATACAGATGGGACATAGTCGCACAGAGAGCCAACCAGTGCCTGAAACAGGACTGTTGCTATGATGACAAGGAGAACCCAATCCCCAGCTGGAACATAAAGGTTAATGGCTCCTCTCTGGGCTGGCTGCCAGGGGCTTGAAGCCCAGAATGAGATAACTGTATAGTGTTTACTTATTTATTTCTGAATCAATGGCGCCAACAGGGCATTAGAGTCAGACAGTTTGAGGCCTGGCTCCACCACCCACTAGTTCTGTGAACTTGGAAAATTATTCAACTGCCTGAGCCTGATTCCTTATTTTCAAATACTTGTTCTCCTTTTCTTTCTTCTTCCCATAACATTATACTATTATTTAGCATTTTTCATGAGCTGAGCCATGGTAAGTCAATTCAATCAGCTGTTTTGTGCCAGCACTAAGCTTGGGCAGGTGGGAGGCAGGGGCAAGGGGGCAATAGTGGCTCAGAAATAAGACATGGCCCCTGTCCTCAAGAAACTCACTGCATTTTGTTAGAAAGCAAGTTTCTGAAACAAACTTGCACAAAACTGCTAGAAAGAATTACCAGAGAAGATATTCAGGAAATGAAAAATGCTAAATAATAGTATAATGTGATGCCAAATCTACAGTACAAGCAGAGGTCATAATCATCTATTTTATTCACTGTACTTTACAATTTGCAAAGCACTTGTCCAGGGACTATTCTGTAAAGTAGAAAAGTCAAGTATTATTATTATTATATTATTATTATTATTATTAATATTATTATTACTACTACTACTACTATATCTTTATCATTATCATCATTTTACAGATGAGGAAATTGAGGCTCAGAGAGGTTAAGGTAATTAACCAAGGTCACACTGCTAAGAGGCATCAGGATTCACACCCAGGTCTTTGTGTAGCTTTGGAAATGGACATAAATGTTACGTCCGAAGTCACCAGACAAGATTTCTTAAAGAAAATAGGGCTTGAGATTGGTCTTAAAATCCAAGGAGGGATATCGGCACTCAGAACAGAGGGCACTCTGTCTGCATAGAATGTTGAGGTCGGGGGCGAGGTGTGTGCCAGAACAAAAGATGGACTTGCTTGGAGCAGCGGCAGAAGAGGAAGCAGAGGGTCTCTAATAAGGTGCAGATATTACATACTGGGAGACCGCCAGCCAGCCAAATGAGGCCCAAAGATGGGCTGAAAAGTCTATGCCTCTGGATTTTTCCTGAATGTAAAAATCATCGTGCAAAGATTTTTTTCCTAGAAAAATCAGAAGACTTGACAATGCTGGGACTCTATCCTTTCTTGAAAGGATCAGTTAGAGGGCGGGCCCTCTCTATCACCCTCCAGGTGTGTTCTTCAGCCACCTGGGACTCTTGGTCCCTTGAGTGTGGCCTCTGATTGTAAAGAACACACTCTGGAGTGCCAATGACCTTGGTTCAGATACCTGCTCTGCTCCTTACTACCTCTGTGAAGTTCAATGAATCACTTAACCCTACTCGACCATAATTTCCTCATCTGTAAAATGGGATAATAGGAGAACCAACCTCGTAGGGCTACTGTGAGAATAGAATGCAGTAAGAATATAAAAGGCACACAGCACAGGGCCTAGCAGGTTGTTGGCACCCCCTAAATGTTTGCTGCTGCTTCTGCTCCTGCTGCTCCTGTTGAAAGATGAGGTGAAGGGAACTTTTGCATGTGAGACAAAGAAGCGTGGACTTAACCCCTCTCTCTCCTTTCCCTTACAGAGGGCACGAGACATCCAGGTGACAGTGGAGCAGTGGGGTTACCCAGATTTGATCCTCAGGGTGAACCCTTATGAGTCCATAAAGAAGGTTAAAGAGAAGATTCGACAGAGCCGCGGCTACATGGGTCTGCAGCGTCTGTCCTTCCAGATACCTGGTGGTGAGCGGCAACTCCTCAGCAGCCGCAGCTCCCTGGCCGATTTCGGAATCTTCTCTAACATCCCCATCTATCTGCTGGAGACTGTCTCCCCTGAGATCCAGGTCTTTGTGAAGAATCCAGGTGGTGAGAGTCACGCATATGCCATCGACCCCAACAGTTTCATCTTGAGCCTGAAGCAGCAGATACAAGACAGGCAGGGGCTTCTCAGAAAGCAGCAACTGCTGAAGTTCCAAGGTCAAGTCCTGCAGGATTGGTCAGCTTTTGGGAGCTATGGTATCGAGGACAGCGACACCCTCATCCTCTCCAAGAAATAAGCCTGAGAGGCTCTGCTTCCACACAACTAATTTATTCAGGGAAACTTCCTGTAGTTCTGCCAACTTATCCAGGACTCATTCTATCAACCACTCCTCCCAGCTCTCTGCTGGGGAGGTTCCATGTCTTCACCAGTTTTGTTAAAAGTTATCCTAGCTCTCCCTGCCAGTAGAGGAATGAGGAGGGGTATGAGAGAGACTAGATATGCGTGTGGACAATGGCCAGACCATAAACAACAATAGAATTCTGACCCGTAGCCTCTGCAGCCACCAACCTGGGAAGCCAAACCACAACCTGTGCAGTAATTGACCCCAAAGTGTCAGGATTTAGTCAATAACTGACAGCTTTCCTAATTCTCCCCTGCCCCCTTGCAATTCAGGTCCAACCAGAGAAAGCCAAACAAGCTCTCTAAGCAATCACATAGGATGTCCTATTTCTAGATAACCCACCTCCAGCTTCCCCAGGACACCAACCTCAGTCAGGGCATACCTGAAGCCTTCTCTTCTTTCCATTATAAAGCTTTCCCATCCCCTGTCTTTGAGTCTCTGCCAAATGCAAGGGATGATGGCTGACTCCCTTGCTCTAGCAAGTTGGGAATAAATAACCTTTGTTCATTCTCTTTTAGATGGTCTTCATTTCTTTCCACAGATGCTAATGCTGTCTTAGTGGTTATTGCTTAATCCTTTGA